GCGAGATGACATGATAATTGAAACGGGAACTCAGTGCAATTAATTATATCTTTTGTCATAAACAGGGTCTACAAATTTGTTTTTTTTGTCATAAACAGGGTACCCCTTTCAGAATCCCAGCGGAACACCCCTACCCAAATTCTGGCGGAGTAYYCCCCCRGGGATAGTGTCCAGATATGATTTTATTAAATTTTATTTTCAAGAGCTGTTCATGATCATAGGTGTTATGTTGCCTTGCATCATGGGAGCTGTAGTCCCTATGGACTCTATTCAAATTTTTATYATACCACCTATGTTGCTATGTCAGTTATAAATTTTAGCGTGAGGCAGAATAATTCACTGATACATTAAATCCTGAATTTTTTATACACACGGTAAGTCAAAATATGGCGACAAATTTGGATAACTGTCATTGTGGACAGCCTAAACTCTTTTATTATCATGTGAAAACACTTTTATGTTTCCACTTGAACACTATCAGGCTTAGTCAGTTCAGGACAATAATTATCCAAATTGGTCACACATTTGGTGTATTGGTTTGAATAACTATATCGGCAGTGATAATGATAGGAAGCTGGAGTCTTAGAATTAAATACATTTTAGTGCAAATGTTCCTGGCATTAATTTCCACATTCAAACTTTATTAAGAAAAGCTAAGCCATGGAAAAAAACTTTTTAGTCAAAAAGGCTTTTTTCTCAGTTATCATCCCACCATAAAACATCTCTTGCCTTATTGTATGGTTCAAACTTATAAATAAACCATTCCTCATCCGTTTGACTCCATTGGGCTGAGCCACTGCTGTACTTTGCAAGGCTGATTAGCGACGAATAGTGATACCAAGCTTTTTCATAGTTTATTAGTTCATTTTTGGAATCAAACACTTAGCATTGAGTATGATAGACAGTGGGTGAGGCAAACAATTTTGCCAAGTATTTGGTAAAATGAAAAATTTCAAACCATCATTTTAGTCACCCATTTATTATTTTTTCATGGCTTTTTCATTTGATGACTCAATAAAAGCAAACAGAATAAAACTTACTGTGATATAGAAATATAGATAAGTTACAACAAGAGAAGTTCGATTCCCAGCGAGGTCGGAAATTAATTTTTCTGAATTTATTTCCAAGGGTCTTTCGCTTTCGCCCTGGTAATTTACCTCCATTCTAGCCAGTGTTTGTTTGCAACTACAAGTTAGAGAATATAAAATCAAGAACCAAAATCCTCCGGTGAGTCCTTGGCGCATTCTATTTATTCCATGAAATTATAATTAATATTGTAGAGGTATAAATTATTGACTTTTCAACTTACAATTTACAGTGTATATTCAAATCCAGAAGATCTAGAGTTGCAGGTACTAATAGAGAATGGTAGAAACTTATATTAGATAAAATAATTTCTTTTAGTTATAAAATCAAGATACCATGCTTTTGAGTTTATTTTAATTCCAATGCTCATTTCTTCCATCAAATCAGTTTAAAATTTAGTACTGTTTGAGGGGATGCAATTAAACCGTGAAATAAAAACAAACTAAATACTGACAGATAGTATCTATTTAGTGGCTAATAGTCACTATTACTCAACCAGAACATTTATTAAACAAAAGACACAAATGATCTCTTGTGTATTTGTCTTTGTATGATGAATGTTCTGGTTGAGTAATAGCAACTATTAGTCACTAAATAGATACTATTAGTTATAAGCATTTAGTTTTAAGCATTTAATCTTTGTCTTAATACAAAAAAAATTTTGTTACTGATCTTGGAGTGATAGGAAATGYATAAAGGACTTTCTCAATATTGATGTTTGTCATCATTAGCCTCAATTTCATGCAGAATATTAAATATACACATAGATATCAAAAAAGGCCTATTAGAAAACCTTTGCAATATCTATTTCCATCCACTGAATTGATGTTGTATAAGGTTTCAGTTCTAATATCTAAGGGCAAAAAAAAGTGCATATTCAATGGTGTTGCACCTTGTAAGGGACAATTGTTTTTTTTGTAGCACCTACCTTATGGCAAATTGTTTAAATAAAAATAAATAAATAAAAATAATGAGCTGCATGGAAGTGACGCTAAGAATGACATGCATAAATATTAAGAAAGGCTTATGGGATTGCAATCTAACTTAATTGTACGCAATTCAGCTTAAAAACAAAATATTCAATTTTTACTTTGACAAAAAAATACATTTTAGTTACGTTACTTTAGTTAGTTAATCAGATGCAGTTCAGCTTATAAAAATAACATATATAAATTTTGCCTGGGCAAAATAAATGCATTTTGGTTAATACAGTTTTGGAAGTTGATTCCTTTAGGTATTTGAGACCGTGACTACTTGAATCTCTAACATGAATTATATATTGCTGTGGTTTTTGATATTCTGCGAACTTGGTGGTTGTGAGCTGCATTCTGGAATTTGTTTTTTCACTGCTGTCAATTGAAAATAATCAGTTGGTACCTTTTATGTTCTTGACTGGCTGCAAAAAAAACAATTTAACAATTAGCCGTTGAAATGTCGGTGTTTGCAGAATATTGAAAACTTCAGTAAGATAAGGAATTTTATAAACTATAGAGGCTTTGAACCACCACATGACAGAAGCCATGACAAGAGGCACGACAGTAGACTCTTTTTCCCCTGGGAAACTGAATTCTTTCTCATATAAATCATTTTAATCAATTTAAATTCCATTATTTCCAAATTGGACAAACATGTAGTCCTATTGCAGATTAATTATATCATCCCATATCATCCATCCCTATACTATACTATATTTTGTCAAACTATACTAGACTGATTCCATAAGTCATAGTTTTCCCTCGAAAGAATGCGAATGGAAACGATCCAAATTAATCCTTAATTTGGACAGGAAGGAGAATTTGAAAATAATACAACAGTTGCTTATATGTGATTATAGATTGATGATACAACTAGTATATGTAATAGGACTCCATGCCGTCCAATTAAGAAATAATTGGATGAGGAAAATTCCAAGGACTTCCAAAATTGGATGAGGCTGTAGGCGGAGTCCAATTTGGCAGTCAGAGGAATTTTTCGAGTCTAACTATTTTTTTGATTAGGGAGCATAAAATCCCATTACCTATTAATTATATAGCTGCCTAATTAATCCCATATCAACAAGACCTGTCCAATTAAGAAAATAATTGGACAGTTACCTATATGGGATTAATGAAAAGCTGTATAATTATAATAATGATGTGATTTTAAAACTCATTTCTTTAGCATATTATATCACTATTATATCACTAAGTATTGTAGTTATTTTTGGTTTCAGGTGTCTTACGAGGCTAAAACAGCTTCATGTTATTGCTGTTTCACAATCAAGCCAATAAAACTCAGAAAAAGAAATCAAGAAAAAAAGAAAGAAAAAATGGCAGAAAAATGGAAAGTTCTATCTATGAATACCAAGTATATGTAATAACCAAGAATCAAGAAAATAAAAGGAGAACAAATAGAAGAAAGCAAGGGGAAAACAAAACAAGCAGAAAACTTCAAAACAAAGGCACAACCTCAATCTATTTAAGAAAAAAAATTGAACAGGAAGTGGGAAGTATTCATACTATATATATTATATCTTGGCCTATATTTGCAAAATTGGTTTATTATTTCACTCTACTTCCTTCTCTCATAATTTTCTTAGTGTTTCATTTCGTTCTCTATTTTTCATTTTCAAAATGTCTTTATTTGGTGAATATCCATGTTTGAACATGACTATCCCTCCCAGTTATATCTCATTCACTACAGCATCCATTTTCATCCCATTGACTCTCCTTACAGTCACTGGTAACTTACTGGTGTTGCTTGCCATCTTTGTGGATCCATATCGTGATTTAAAATCACCTTTCAATTACTTTGTTGCCAATCTAGCTGTGGCAGACTTGTTAGTTGGACTTGTAGTTGATCCTCTAGGCGTAGTGTATCATTACAGTGAAGGTTTACAAGGCAAGTATCCTGCAAGTCTGAATTATATACATGTACCTTACTTCATGACTAGCTCGGCATCTGTGTTAAGTCTTGCTGCTCTTACATTTGACAGATATCTTGCAATCACTTCACCAATGTCTTATAGGACTAGACTCAATCCCAAAAGAGCAGGGTTTGTTTCTCTTGGAATCTGGGTTTTCTCTGTAGCATTTTCATTTTTGTATCTCGTAACTGGATACCTCATGTTTTCATTTATTTTCATGCACACCATTATCTTATTTTCTTTCTTCGTGATGCTCTTTACATACCAGAGGATATTCAAAGTGTTTAGAACACAAGTTGAGCAGTGGGACAACATGAATGATGCAAAGAATGAAGACAACTTTGCTAAACGTCAAGCTGTCAGATGGGAGCAAAAAGTCACCAAGACTTTTCTCATCATGTTGGTGTTTTTTCTTGGCTGCTACCTTCCAGCTTGCATCTGTATCTACATCACCAACTTGTGCAGTACATGTAGCTGTGTCTTAATTCACTGGGCGAGGGATGCTCACTTTTTCCTCATTCTTTCTAATTCCAGCATTAATCCTTTTCTTTATGCAGTAAGATTTGAGAATTTCAGAAAAGCGTTTAAGAAAATGCTTCAATGTGCATGCTTAAGGAGGAGATTCCAGTCATTTAGGCTGGAGTTTGTGAATTCGTCGACTGGAGAAAGCACTACCTCAATAGCTCCAAAAACTTCACAAAGTGAATAGATCCAGCAGTTGCATCATCACTCTCAAGAAACCTTTTTACCTTGGATGTAATATTTTCCTATTTTAGACCATGTGTCATTCCCTAGAGTATCATTTCTTTGTTTAACAGTTGCAAATCAGAAGACAGAGTAATGGACCTCTTTACCTTGGGCGTAATGTTTTCCCATTTCAGACCACAAGTCATTCCCTAGAGTATAATTTTTGTGTTTAACAGTTGCGCATGAGAAGACACATGAATATGGATACAACTCAAACAAAGAATCTTTATTCTCGAAAGAATAACATGTGGTCTGAAATGAAAGTAAGCAGGTATATAGAGGCTTTGCTCCATCACGTCATGGCAGCCATGACAGGAGGCACAACAATAGGGTCTTTTTCTCTCTGGGAAACTGAATTCTCTCATGTAAATCAGATTAAGCTAGATTCAATTGCTCCTGCCATGGGCGGTGCCATCACGTGATGGTGCAAAGCCTTTATATACCTGATGGTGCCGTTCTGAGGGAAAGAGATGCGGTTTTAAGCTTAATATTCTCGTTAAAAAAACTTTGTCTCGAATCATAATGGCCAAAATGAATATTTAATTAGAGCCATAACGTAAAATGTTTTTTTCAAGATATTTAAACGACAAATACATTTATAAAAAAAGTTTTTAATACTCCTTCAGTCGTTAGAGTGAAGTCATTAAACCTGTGTAATAGATATTAGACTAATGCACTTTAGTAGACCCTAATTCCATTGTTTTCTTTTGTGTCTATTTGACTAGAGTGAAGTCATTAAACCCGTTAAATAGATATTAGACTAATACACTTTAGTAGACCCTAATTCCATTGTTTTCTTTTGTGTCTATTTGACTATTACACGTTGACTAATAATTTTTATTTCACGGGTTAAATGCCTTCACTCTATCAAAGTACAGTCATCCAGCACTAGGACTTGTTTGCTTCATTATGAATATGTTTCATATTTTTCATTCTTTTAATGTATATTGTGGTTGTTACATATTTTAAATTCTATTCTATTTTATATCGTATACAATTCATTTTTATTCGTTATGATTACCCTGTTTTATCACGCAAAACAAAATTTTTACAACGTTAGTGACTGTCTTGTTATTGACGGTGAAATCTAATAAGTAGTATTTCAAATAATCAATGCTTACTTTAAGAGCACTAAAACAATGTATAAAATCATGATGGCAAACAATCTCTTTCTTGCTATATTTAAAAAATGTCTTTTGGGAGCGCTTTACTTATAACGAAAATCAGCAAAGATAACCTTATGGCGTAGCAGTTCTCTTTAGTACGTAAAAATAGGACATTTCACGTCTTACTTTCAGCATAAGATGGCAATGATGTATAGTATTTTGTACATTTCAACGAGTATCTATTGAATAGCGCAATTAGTGCTATTGTATGGTTGCCGTCGTCGTCGTCGTTGCCGTCCTGCAGCTTAAGGTCCCTAGTGAAAACCAGCTTTTAGATATTAAGTAGTTATTAATACTTACTTTTCAATCTGATTGAGTCATCTCAAAGAAATTCAATTATTCCTATACTTTGTTTTAGAGAGTCTTGTTTTAGCTGGTTTTGTTTGGTAATCATGACCTGAATAAAATCAATAAAGCTGCCTTTCTGTCCCATACGAAAAGTAAATACTGATTGCTTGATATGTATGGCACATGAATATTTGCATACAAGGCATTTAATAATGAAAATGGAAACTGGAGAAAAGAGATAAGGATATCCCCTTTCCCTTTCCCTATCTCCGCTTTGTCCCTCCCCCCCTTTTTTTACCAAAGCTTAAGTTTACATACAAACATACGCAGAGTCAAAATATGGCGACCAATTTGAATAACTACTGTTTTAGACCTACTAGCTTCGTGTTCACATGGAAAAATAAAAGCGTTTTTAGGCTCTTCAACAGTGTATCGCTCGTCCGTTCCGTCTCCACGCTTAGAGACTGTAGCGGTACAATGACCGAAAGGACTTATGGGTCCCGAAAACTTGGACCCGGAAGCTTTGGGAACCAAAATACTCGTCCACAGTCTCTCTCGTTTCAATACTTTCAAGATAGCGGCGTTTTTACATGTGAGAGATGCTAATCAGTCCAGAACAATAGTTATTCAAATTGGTCATATTTCGATTCGGTGTATACACCTATTTCAAAAAACGTCGGTCGGAAATTTGAAAGCTGAAAACGAGAAACACGCCGCAAAATATTGTTGAACTTGCATCGTAAAGAGTCCGCCATTATATCTTGCTTTGCATGGCGTCACGTAAAAACCAGTTAGCTGCTACTGTCCTGTCGCTCACCGATACTCAACACCGACCGAGACAAACTACGTATTTTCCTTACAAACCAGCGGCACGTTAATATCCTCTTGAACGCTCTGCGATAATTCTCCAACCTCCATCCATAAACGAAGGGGTTCATGCTCGAGTTGGCCATGACGAACATGATTTGCAAGTCACGTGACACGTGCACCAGCACACAGCTACATCTGGTACAGAGATTCATGATATACACAAAGATACACGAGGGAACATAACAGGCCATGAATAAAGCTAGCACGATCAAAAATGTTTTTGTGATCTTCTTTTCCCACTTCATAGCTCGTTGTGATGCTTGATTTTCTTCAGTCGTCTCGGCAAGGTTTTCCCAATGTTGGACCTGTGATCGAAAGCTTGAAAAAATCTTGAGATACGTGAATAGTAAGACCATAAAGGTGAATACAATCGTTGTGTGGGCGAACACAAAGGTATATAAGATGTATCCACTTTTGAGATAGATGAAGGAGAATCCGACGGCAAATATCCAAATAGCAACTGAAGCTATTATCACTCGGCTGGTGCTCAGTTTAGTACGATATTCCAAAGGAGATGTTATTGCCAGATACCGATCGACTGTCAATGCAGCAAGGCTGAGTAAAGACGCCGTACAGGTGATAAAGAAGGTTAAATGGAGAACTTTTATAGGAACAATCATACGTACTCCAAGTCCTTCATAAGTGTGGAAAATGGCGGAGATAGGTGCCACGACACATCCCACAATCAGGTCGGCGAAGGCAAGGTTGATAACGAAATAGTTGAAAGGAGATCTTAAATCTTTATTAGGGTCGACGAGAACAGCCAAGATAACAAGTAGGTTCCCCGCTATGCTTGTCAGGGCGATGAGGATGGAAAGGCTTGCAGAAGCGTAGGACAAGCTTGTAGGAGCAGATATGTTACCACAGATGTTGTCACCAAACATGGTTCTCTTATATTCGACCTTGAAGACGATGTAACCACAATTTCGTGTTGAGTTCCTGGCGTAGTCCAAAAACGCGTGGCTAACTTCAGTTTGATTTACTCAGCTGCTTGTCTAATTCATATTCCTTCTATTCCTTGAAAAGTGTTATGGATTCAATCAGTTTGACATCTCACCTTTTCAGCCCACAAGTCTTGACATCTTAATAATATTATTGACATCTTGTATTCCTATGGGCAAAATAGCCTTTCATTACTTCCTTTGAAAGTGAAATAAAACCTTCAATACAACAATGTTACTTGTTCCTTATCCAAAAATAGAGAAATATTAATAAGAGAATGTATTAATATTTACCAACCCGTAGGAAGTTGTTGACTTAGGTTGCTAAAACAGCCTTCAAGGCATTCATAATGCAAATATTACCGAATTCTATTGCAAACAATACGACAGGAACTGATAAATGTTTTCAATACATATTTACGCAATCAGTACTTCGGTTTTCTTGGAAAATTGATGTTTTCTTGGAAGCAAGTGAAAGAAAGAAACGTGGCGAAAATGGAAAAAAAAAAAAAAAAAGTTTGAGCAATCCAAATTACTTTTTCCTGATCGTTTTATTTTGATGAGCAAATGTTTTTATTTTAAATAATTCAAGCCTTTACGGTTTGGTATCAGAAGGTATTTGCTTATTCATGGCCCCCACGAATTGCGGTTTAATTGTGGTTTCAGTATTTTGAGGTTGGACATTCTCTATATAACCAAAACAGCAATCAATGCAACATCTAACTAACTTAAAATACTCACTTTTTTTTTTAAACGAATCCCTTCAATTTTGTAAAGTAGACTGCTGCAGTGGCTTTGCTTTGAAGCGTAAAAATATGGTATTGGAGTTCTTGATTTTTCCCGTACCTTTAGGAACTTAGTCTCCACAAAATCAACAGCTGTGAAAATTGGTGTTTTCTTAGAAGTTAATGCTATTAATATTTGTAGCTGTGTTGCATTTTGATGACGACCTTATTCTTAGAAACCGTCCACAAATTAGCATACGTCTTATTTTGGTTTAGCCGCAATACCTTTTTAGTTTGACCCTTTCGGGATGATAGTCTGATTGTATAGAACGTCTGTCTGAGACAGCGTGACACTATGTACTGGACTTCCCCAAGAGAGGAGACTGCGTAACAGACTTTGTCACACGGACGAACAGTCAAGACAATCGAGTAATGAAGTTTTACAAGACGTCCACACTTGAACCGACTGATAAGTCCTTGGTCGCTATACCTGCCATTAAACGGTCACTCGGCAGTAGTTCAATAAGGCCTCTGTCAGTAGAAAGTGAAAAATTGGCAAAAGTGCATTTTTGTTTCCTAACGAGAATCTCTTGAGCTATACCTTGCTCATTTTGAGCTATCACTGTTGAATTAAACGTAAGTTGAATAAGTTATTCCATATTTTGTTGAAGCTGGTAAAAGGGTAGCAAGTGATGACTGCATAATCCATGACAACCTACTTCCTCCTTTTAAGTTTGGTCACACCAGTCGACTCCAAATTCAGTTTTCCTAGTTGAAGTCTCGCAATACGATTACCCCTCCCCTACCCCACTCATCAATTTGTTCAGTACAACTCCAGCTTTGCGTTTGGAAATAGCTTCTTTAAGCAAACCAAACTCAAGGATGGCTCACTTGTCGTATGTTCAGGCAAATCCTCATTCTTGGTCACTCGTTCCTGTTGTGACGTCACAAGCGGTCTCTTTCCTTGTTCACGTGAAGTCAATCTCAACTTGATATGTTTTATTTTCTTATGCGTTAATTTTCTGTCCCTAGGGCGAGGATTTGGTACTTCACGAACATGGTTTGAGCAATCTTCTGGTCCCTTTTTCGGGTGTCCAGTGTCTTGCACCGTTTCTATTTTAACCCTATTTGGTATTGTTTCAGAATTTGCGTTCTGTGCGAACCGTTGCTTTTCCTTATCCATCGAAAACAAGCCCTCGATGATTTTATTCACTGACTCACTTCTATTTTCTAAATCACCGCTTACTCTCTTACAAACCAAAACCCCTCCAAGGTCTGGGCATTTCCTTACATTTTTAGAAGTTTTAGAACACGCACCATCAACGCTGCTTGAAGTTGCCTGGCAACGCATCGCCATCTTGGGCAAATATTCTGACGATTTCCATTTTCGCTCCCAAACTTGGTTCCATTTGTGAAGTTTATTTTTCTCAGAGTTTTCACTGATGTTTTCACCACATTTATTTAAATTCTCAGAGGAAAGGATGCTTGCTTGACTGTTGCCAAACAAAGGCACTTTTTCTCTTCCATTGCTGACATCTTCCTGTTCCATTTTTTCCCCGTTCTTCAAGAAAATTAGCCTTGATTTCTTCTCGACTCCCATTTTTTCTTTTTCCCGTTTTTCCAACATTCGTTGTCTACCTTTGTTATTCCAACTCGCGAAGAAAGAATCCTCTTTCTTATTATCCGCATCGTCTTCGGAAAACATACAAACTCTCCTCATCTTTGAAACCAAAATATTTTCTAATGCTGTCTCATTTTTGGCTTTATCGATCGGATTTAGAATTATTCCTGGYATTGATGATAGTTTCAAGTCCATCGTCTTTCCTATGGTTTTACTTACATTGCCAGTGATATGTGAACCAGATTCATTATAATTCCTAATGAATGGCATTTTGTGACCTTCCTGCCATCTCTCGTGTCGTTTTTCTCTTTTCTCTTGAATAATGTTTTCCCTTTTTTCTCTGATCCTCTCAAATCTTTTCTTTTCCTCTTGTCCATCTGAATTACAAAGCTTCCAGAAATCCTTCCTTGCTGTCAAGTCAGTTAATGTAATATTGGTGCTGAAGCCAAGTTCTGAAACACCATGCTCGTATTCTGTTTCCAGAGATCTCATTATGTTGAAAGAATTGTCTTGATAAAAAAAATCTTGTGTAAACATTGCGTATTTATCGTTTGATTTGTTCCAAGCAAAGTTCCTTCTCACTCATAGAACTTAGTATGAGTTTTCTATTCAATATGAAAGTGTAAAATTCACGAAATCATGGCTTAACTAATTATACTTCAATACTATAAATACTTTTGCAATAAGCAATAGTATCTTTCCAAAATGTCAATGCTACACTTGATTTCCACTTGGCATGATATTTTCACTCATATTTTTCATTTAAAAAAATCGGGGGGAAATGTCATAATTTCGTAGTATTTCAGCGATTGTTCACTCAAAGACCAATATGAAACACTTAAGAATATACCTCTATATCTCGACAGATGTTCTATTGATTCTGATCTGTTATAAGATCTTATGATCCTAAGTAGCTCTAAGTACTCTTAGCTTAACACATTATGATTACATCACGACCAATCATGCGACCTTTCATTTTTACAATTACTCAATTATTTATTGCACCTTTTTGTAGGATGCAAGGTGAGTTCAAAAGGTGTCTGGTAAGACGCGTGGCCATCCATGGTAACCTTGGCAACGAGTGAATGCATGAAATTTCCTAGTTTCAAAGAACTCGAGTTCGGGATGAGACTCGTCGTTTTTGAACATCAATTATGGAAAACTAGGGGACAGGTCAGTCACTGGCTGTACGAAGAGATATGTTATGCCTGAGAATACTTGATTCAAGTCTCAAAAGGTACATTAATTCCATTATCTTATCTTAGTTATAACGCTTCCAATCTCACGCGCGAAATCGTACAATTTCCTGTCGCGACACTATTAGTTTTGGTGGACATCAATCAAAACGTTTCACAACATTCTATAGCACGTGCGCTTGAAGACTTTGCATTTTTCGACACTGTCATGCAAACACTTTGATTGACGTCCGTCCACCAAAACCTTATTTTGTCGAGACGGAAATTTGGGCGATTTCGCGTGTGATTGGAAAGCGCTGTACAGTGAATTACTATATATAACTCAACACAAATATTTATAAATGAAAACAAGAGAAAATGAACTATTCATATTCTCTTGATGAAAACGATTCCTTGAAGGTTGACATGAGGGCCACAAGTTTATTAGTGTAGTACACTATTTAGTGCCACCCTCATTAAATAA